TTAAATGTACCTTAGTCTTTACTACTCTAGAGAGGTCACTGACAGCAAATTTTTTCATTGCAATTTGTGTTTTGGTTTCTAACTGCTGATATCAAGGGTGTTGATATTTAATTCAAATAAGGTTAAATTGTTGGTAACTTCCATCTTTTCTCTATGTATTATGTTGCCTATTGGCCCAGTGGTGAGGATTTTTTGTTTTCTTCATGTTGAAATGCAATCCATATTGAAGGCTGTAGTCCTTGACCTTCTGCAGCAAGTACTTCAAGTTATTCTCACTTTCACTGATCAAGATCATATGATCTAAATATGCAGGTTGTTGATGAGTTTTCTTCTTAAATGATCTGTTTGGCATACGGATTGAATGGATATGGTGAAAAAATACAGCCATGTTGCACACCATTCTTAATTTTGAACCATACATGGTTCCCTTGTCCTTGTTTGGACAACATCTTCTTGGTCTAGGTATAGGTTTCACATGCAGCCATGATTTGTTGTTATCCACACAGTCAAATACCTTTGCATCGTCAATAAAACACAGATAGACATTCTTTTGATATCTCTGCTGTCTATTAAGTTCCATTTGACCTCAGCAACGATATATTCTGTGCTGTTACCTCTTTTAAATTGGGCTTGAATTTCTGTGAATGTAGTGTTCTAGCCATTTTTAACTAATTTACAGGAAGATTTTGCTTGCAAGAGATATAATTGATATTGTTTGATAATTTTCACATTCTTTTGGATCATTTGTATTTTTTTATTGGTTGCTGCTCTTACTAGCTTAAATAAGTATATGCTTGCTTATTAATCATCTGCTCTTTTGAGTACAGTGCTTATCTGTCGTTTGCTGTGCTAAAGCACAACTCCCAGATTGAGACAGACTAGGAAAAAGAACTGGCCATCCATTTCTAAAATAACAAGCCTTTAAAAGCCCTATGAATATCTACAATTAAGGTTGCATAGTGGAATGTACTTGGGGCGGTGGGAGGGGTGGGGGGGGGATTGTGTACCAGGGAGGGAGTCTTTCTTTTACTTTTGAAAGAGAGGAGTGAACTGGGGGGTGAGGGGAGAGGGCTGGGCAGGTAAAGAAGTGCAGCAATGAATGAATGGAAATCCAAATTCTCTGTAAATGTTCATTAAAATTATTTTTTTAAAAAAAGCCCTATGAATAATAGAGGAACATGGGTAGAGATAGTATTGGAGGTAAAGTCAGTATCCAAAGCCACTCAAAATCAGGAGAAACAACTCCATTAATAATTGAAATATGGAATGTATAAAGTGTGAATTCTAGAAAATTTGACATTGTGGCAAATGAAATGAAACACATTCTAGGTGTCAGCGAGTTGAGATGGACTTACACTGGCAACTTTAAATCAGATAACCATGATCTATGTGGGGAATTGCAATAATTGTAAAAAGATAATTTCAAAATTGAGCCTGACGCATAAGGGGCATATTGTCAGGCGGGGCCATTCCTTGGAAAAAGACATGATGGAAAGGTGGGCAAATCAGGGAAAGAAGACTCTCAGCAAGATGGATTGTCACAGTGGCTATAGCAACAGCCTCAAGTAGGTCAGATGACGAGCATGTCTCAGCGTAAGACAAGGCTCAGATCCATGGTTCATTGGCTCATTATGAGTCATACTTGATTCATGGCACCTAACATCTTTGCTTTAGAATATAAGCATTAATTAGACAAGCACTTATTAGAAGGTAATCATAAGCACTTTGTTATGCCACTTTGTTGTTTGGTGTGGATTTTTTGTTTGATTGGTTGGATGGTTGGTTGGATTTTGTGGGGGTTTTTTTTGTTTTTTTTAACCTACTGCTGTATTTCACAGTTGCAATCACTCTTCACATCCACACCCCAAAAGGAATTTGAATAGATTACTTAATGCATGTTTTAGATACATTCCACTGTAAAGCACCCTCTGACTTAATTTACCGGTCTGGAGGAACATTTCATAATTCAAGACAAAATTCAGTCCCTTTTACTATTTGTTTTCAATGAGAAATCTTGAATACATGATATCTTTATTTACATTTGGATTGGGTTGAATTGAATTCTAGCCCTTTGATATACTGGATTGTTGGTTTTTTGTTCTCTATAATGTACACATTATATTAGAACTGTATACCAATTTTATTTTTCTATATGTAGTATATAGGTTTTGCATTAGCACGATCAAGTGTTCTGGGATTCCCATTCTTCTTAGAGTCAGTCAGTTTGTTATGATCCACACAGTCAAATGCCTTTGCATAATCAATAAAACACAGATAGACATTCTTCTGGTTATTCCCTGCTTTCAGCTAAGATCCATCTAACATCAGCTACAATATCCCTAGTACCA